TCCTAGAATCTATGAATCTATGAATCTATGAATCATTAGGGGGCTGTCCCTGGCTCTGGGGGAATGTGGGGGGTCAGGCACCAGTGGGGGGGTGACAGCCGCAAGCAGGGTCCTGGAGGAATTAGGAGAAGGTGGTGAGTGGGGGAAGGAGGGCTCCCAGTTCAGAGGGGATCCCATCCCCACCCCTACCCTTTTTCCTCTCCCACCACAGATGGCGGAGATGGCAGAGATGAGAGAGTAGGCAAACAGAGGAGCAGTAGAAGCTGCCACGAGGGAATATGGACTATTTGTGAAGCAGCTGGTGAGTGCAGAGGGGCTGCGGGTCGGGAGTGAGGGGCACCGACAGGACTGACGGGGGGCAGGGCTGGGCTAGCAGGGGGCTGTAGGTTGGAGTTGAGGGAGCTACAGATGTGTGAGGCAGAAGTTCCCCCTGTGGCTGGGTAATGCTAGTTCCCGTCCCTCATGGACGATCTCATCCCCCTCCTGGCAGGACCGTGGCCACCAGAACATGAGCAGCTGTCTGAGAGTGAAGCCCCTGGAGATGCAGCGATGCCAGGAGGGGAAACGCCAGGAGCTGCTGAAACGCTGCCGGGGGGAGCTGTGGGGCGAGGACCCCCAGAAACAGGCGGCCCTGGAGGAGCTGAAGCAGGAGCTGGACAAGCAGATGGACGAGTTCCTGTCGGCCTACGGGCAGCGCTTTAAAGTGAAGAAGGCCGAGTGGTTGGGCCTGTACATTGGGCTATCGCCAGCTGCCAGCGCGCGCCGGGCACGGGCTCGCCCCCACTGGCCCGTGCCCCTGCCAATCAGCAAATGGCTCCGGCCCATTGGCTGCCCCTTCAGGAGGTGGGATGGGGGAAGCAAGGGATTCTGGGGCTTGTAGTTTTATGTACCCAGTGGAGGAGAAGGGGGAGCTATGGCGCTTATGGGGGGGGGTCTAGTGGTTGGACCAGAGCCCTGGGGTAGCAGGGGGCTCCAGGGGCTATTTAAAGTGCCGGGGCTCCAGCTACCTCGGTCCTCTAAATAGCCATGAGAGCCCCACAGCTTCCCCAGGGCTCCGGCAGCTATTTAAAGGGCCAAGGTGGTAGAAGCAGGGGGGCCCCTGCCCTACCTGCAGCCAGCCCCTGCTGCACCCCCTACCCTGCCTCCAGCCTCGCACCCCCTGCCCTGCCT